TGTTGCCAAGGCTTTGTAAACTTTTTTTAAAAAGAAATTACAAAGGACTAGGAAGGTAGGAGTCTGGCAGGCCTCCAAAGAAGCCTGTGTGGCTCTAACCACATACCCTTACCCACTTAGAACTCTCTTTTTTATACATTTTCTTTGCTCCTGGCTTTAGTTTATAGTGTTTCATTAAAACTCTCTAGAGATGAGTAGCTATGGGATTGAAAGAGGGTTTTCTCCCCTCTCTGCCTGGGCCAGGGGTTCCTAACCTGGGATTCATGAATGGCCTTCATAGAGTCTAGGAGTTCTTGAAACTTGGTGTTTTTGAGAAGTTATCTGGAGAAAGATTCTTAGGGATCTGTATCACTTCAAAATGTTGAAAACCACTGCTGTAGAACTTTATGTAAACTACACTAGAATTGACTTCAAAGTTACAATTAATAATATTTTTGATTCTTTGAGATTGACACCATATAATAATTTCAACTCATAAATTATATGATGAAGATTAAACTTCACTCCTCATCATCTCCCTCTCTCTGCTCATCCCCCACCTTCCACCCTGATGTTTTAATGTCCTGAATTACTTGGGCTTTACAGTTTTATACTCTGCTAGATATATTTATGCTTTGAACCAAGTGTGCTTAATGCAAATATTTTTAATCCTCTGTGAAACCATTATAGATAATTCTTTGCATTTCAGATAAAAACTTATAGACATATAAGGTGAAGATCACTGAAGTGGAAAGAGCATGTATCAATGAAATACCAATTTGAATTGAGCAAATATAAATCTATGTAGATTATAACATATTCTCAGAATTACATAGCAGATTATAATTCAGTCAAGAAGTACGCATCTTTTGATGCCCATGAACATTTATGAATTGTGTAAGAACTCTGAGATTAAATTTTTAGCCATAGTGTTAAGTTTGGGATCAATATTATCATTTTATATTAACATATAAGTACAACAATTATATCCAATAAAAACTTTCCATTTAACTTGGCTTTAATTTGCTTTAGACTGTGACATACACACTGTGATTTTTCTCTCCATTTTGGATTCCTATCATTGACAGCCAGCCTGTGTGTCATTTGACATCCAGGAAAGATAGTTTTTCACTCCAGACCTTGGATGTATTAGCCAATTTGGGTACAATTTACAATGATCTCTTTTGAGCACATCAAAAATTTAATTTTGACTAATTTTATTAATAAATGCTCCTTGAAATTTAGAAAAGAAAGTTATGTGCTTAGATATAAGAACACAAACACTAGGTATAGTTTTAAAAGAGCATAATATTGTTGAGAGTTACTGAGTTTATAACATGCAACAGAAAAATAATCATTGAACATATTTCATAGAAAATTGCTAACATTTTCTTCTCCTTCCCAAAGGTTAGAATAGACAGCAAGTCCAAAAAAGGAAGAGGGAAAGAAAGAAAGAGAGAGGAATGTGGGAAAGGAGAGAGGGAAGGGAAGTAAGAAGGAAGAGAGGGAGGGAGGAAAATGGTAAGAAAATAGGTCCCAGTGCCATAGTCTAATATCCTGGCTTGTAGAGAAGACTAGAATATAGCAAAACTTAGAGCTTTAAAATCTTTGAAGACTAGTCAGTCTTTTATATATATATTTCAAATTTGTATGTACTTTCAATGAATCATACATAATCTAATTATCTTGCTTAAAATTTTCATTAAACTCATTAATTTTGTGAAACAATTTTAAAGCACTGGAGATCTTCAACCTCCCATGTGTTAGCATGTATAATGATCCAGGCTGGAGATTTTCATCTTAGCTCGTCTTGTCACCATCCTTCACACCTGCATGTACTTGAGCGAGGTTTCACATTGACCACAAAGGGAAATCATTTCTTTGAAGAAATCTCTACAATAGTGCAATTGTCACAAAAACTTTCCAGGAAAGGAGATGTCTTTAATTGCTGGTTTTCTGCTTTAGCCTTTTCAGTGCAAAGATACTTAATCATGTCCTTCTACTTGATCTCCTTTAGTGAAGTTTGTTTTGCATATTTCTGGAGGCCTTATGTGAAGTTGTTAAAATCATGGTGTCAGACAGGCAAGATTGAATCAGCCTGTATTAAATCCTTGATATGTTTTAGTGGGCTCCAGGTAGAGGGACCTGCTTTGTTTTCTCAGAATCTTTTTTTGGTTTATTAATTTCTCATGGGTCTCCCCCTGCTTCAGTTTTATCCTTCTAAGAGAAGTTATCAAAACACTGATGGGTCCCGGCGTGGCGGCTCATGCCTGTAATTCCAGCACTTTGGGAGGCCAAGGTGGGTGGATCACCTGAGTTCAGGAGTTCGAGACCAGCCTCGTCAATATGGCAAACCCCATTTCTACTAAAAATACAAAAATTAGCTGGGCATGGTGGCACGTGCCCGTAGTTCCAGCTACTCGGGAGGCTGAAGCAGGAGAATCGCTTAAACTCAGGAGGCAGAGGTTGCAGTGAGCTGAGATCGTGCCACTGCACTCCAGCCTGGGTAACAGAGGGCAAGTCCCTCTCCAACAACAACAACAAAAAAGCACAATGATGGGCAGACCGGTCCTACAATAGCTTTTTTTGGCCTGTGATTTTTTTTTTTTTTTTTTTTAACAGAGTCTTGTTCTTGTCACCCAGGCTGGAGTGCAGTGGCACCATCTGGGCTCACTGCAACCTCCACCTCCCAGGTTCAAGCAATTCTCCTGCCTCAGCCTTCCGAGTAGCTGGGATTACAGGCACCCACCACCATGCCCGGCTAAGTTTTGTAGTTTTAGTAGAAACAGGGTTTCACCATGTTGGCCAGGCTGGTCTCAAACTCCTGACCTCAAGTGATCCACACCCCTGGCCTCCCAAAGTGCTGGGATTTACAGGCACGAGCCACCGCGCCTGGCCTGCCTTGTGATTTAAAGAGTGAAATATCGGATTTTAAACATAGAACAATAAAACTGTTAGGGTCAGCTCCTCCAAAATCTGAAATTTTCATCACCAAACAGTGATGTGTTTGGTGGGACAGATGATTTGTGTAAAATCACTTTACAGATTATTTTCCACCATACAGGGGACTTTCTAGGCTGGTGATAAGGAGTAGAGGCAGTTTTAGAAGGCAAGCCCAGGGCAAACTTAGGACTGAGTTCTTAGCAACACACGAATGTATTGAATTTCTTCATAGGAACTTCTGGACATTAAACATACTAAATATACCTTAAAAGAGACAAAGTTCATCAGGGTTTGACTCATCTTTGTCAAAATTAGCTAAAATTGATCATGTACTATATAGTAAAGCTTTTACCTATTCTAATCAGTGGTGCCCAATAGAAATGTCTACAATAATAGAAATATTTTCTATCTCTGCTATCCAGTAAGGCAGTCACCAGCCACATGTGGGTATCGAGCACTTGAAATGCAGCTGCCAAGACTGAGGAACTAAATGTTTAGCTTTTTATTAAATGTTAAATAATTTAAATTTAAAAAGACAAATGTGGCTAGTGCTATTGTATTATATGGTAACATAGCTCTACCAAATCCTATTGAGAGGTGACAATGTGCTAGCAGCCCTCACTCTCAGCGCCTCCTCGGCCTCGCCATCCACCGGCGGCGCTTGAGGAGCCCTTCAGCCCGCCACAGCACCGTGGGAGCCCCTCTCTGGGCTGGCTGAGGCCTTCTGCTTGCAGGGAGGCGTGGAGGGAGAGGCGCCTGCGCGGCGCTCGCGGGACAGTGTGAGTTCCGGCGGGCGCGGGCGCGGGCTCGGCGAGCCTAGCACACTGAGCGGCTGGCCGACGCCTCCGGCTCAGAACAGTGAGGGGTTTAGCACCTGGGCCAGCAGCTGCGGAGGTTGCGCCGGGTCCCCCAGCAGTGCCGGCCCGCGGGCGCTGCACTCAAATTCTCACCCGGTTTAGCTGCCTCCCTGCGGGGCAGGGCTGGGATCTGCAGCCTGCCATGTCTGAGCTCCTCCCCTGCGGTGGGCTACCGCGCGGCCTGAGCCTCCCGGAGGGGCGCCGACCCCCGCTCCGTGGCGCCCGGTCCCATCGACAGCCCAAGGGCTGAGAAGTGCAGGCGCGGCTCGGGACTGGCGGGCAGCTCCGCCTGCAGCCCTGGTGCAGGATCCACTGGGTGAAGCCAGCTGGGCTCCTGAACTGGATGGGGACTTGGAGACCTTTTCTATCTAGCCAGAGGATCGTATGTGCACCAATCAGCACTCTGTATCTAGCTAACCTAGTGGGGACTTGGAGAACTTTTCCGTGTAGCATTCTGTGTCTAGCTCAAGGATTGTAAATGCACCAATCAGCACTGTGTCTAGCTCAGGGTTTGTGAATACACCAATAGGTACTCTGTATCTAGCTAACCTAGTGGGGAGTTGGAGAACTTTTCCGTTTAGCGCTCTTTCCTGCTCAAGGATTGTAAACACACCAATCAGCACTCTGTCAAAACGGACCAATCAGCTCTCTGTAAAATACACCAATCAGCTCTCTGTAAAATGGGCCAATCAGCAGGATGTGGGTGGGGTCAGATAAGGGAATAAAAGCAGGCTGCCTGAGCCCGCAGTGAAAACGCGTTAGAGTCCCCTTCTGTGTCGAGGAAGCTTTGTTCTTTCGCGCTTTGCGGTAAGTTTTGCTGCTGCTCACTGTTTGGGTCCACGCTGCCTTTGTGAGCTGTAACACTCACCGCGAGGGTCCGTGGGTTCATTCTTGAGGTCAGTGAGACCAAGAACTCACCAATTCCAGACACACTGTGTGATAATTAGAAAAAAATTGACAAAGAAAGGTCTTTGCACTCCTTATGCTGGAAAGTACTGTCTTGGTTATCATAGCTGAGGGTGTTTTATAAAGTTTTTGTGAAGCTGGATGTCCTTTATTTTGAGGCTAGAAGTGACAAAATAGGCTCCTTTAGGAACAACCAGTCTCATCTATACCTAGATTTGCTTGCTTTCTTCCCATTATATCATTTTGCTTTTATATATCGGTTTTGCATAATATATAGATTTGCTTTTAATTCCTTATTTTTTCTTTGATTTTCAGATCTTTGACCATCAGTCTGTGACTTGCCCCTTCTCTTTACGTAAGTAAAAGTGATTTATTTACCTTTAAAAAAAAAAGCGTTGGGTTTAGAAAATTGTGGTCTTCATTGGCATATTTCCTAGATGATTTTGTTGTGGTTTCTAGTGCTTCTGTAGTGTGTATTAGTTTCTTTTGCGTTTGGAGTTTATGCTGTTGGTAGTTGCTAACCATGAGGGTGCAGAAAATACCAGCAGCCCAGACACCGTACTTCTATAAAGGCTGCCCTTTACTTGGCTGCAGCTGCTGTTTGCAAAAGTCACTGCTCTTTTAAAGTATAGCTTGTATTATTCAGCCAAATACCAGCAACAGTTGGGCTTTTGCTCCCCTGTCAATCATTGGGCAATTATGTATTCTTCAGTTATGTACCCATCCCTAAGTCCAGTAGTTTTTAATTTTAACTTCTAGATCAGAGCTTTCATTTATTGACAAAATTTCTAATATCCCTTTACTAAGAAGTACAAGACTGTAAAGTAAATAGGCTAAACTTTTGTGCAAAATTTTGAAGTCTACAGGAGAAAAAAAAAAAGAGATCCCAGATTCACATGTGCCAGAAGGTTTATAAAGGTACTACTCTTTTTTAGAAAAGATGGAAAGGCATTTGGGGGAAAAAAAGACCATTTGATTTTATATGAAAAAAAGGGAACGTTAATTATTTAAAGTTCAAACCAGGCTGCATTGAATGGGTTTAAATAAATTTCATTTTGAACTGCTTGAAAGAGATTCTAGGCCAGTGAACGGAAATAATCAAAGTCACTTATAAGAGACACCACCCAAGAGAATCCTACAGGTAGTGATAGTCACCTAATGTGATAAATAGTTATCATTATCGTCTGGCTGCTTCCCACTCTCAGGTGAGCACTGTCCCTTATTCACATTATATATTGCTTCACTGACTCCTCACTCCAAGGTGTTTCTTGTATTATAATCATTTGCACAGAATGGAGGTTCCCATGGCTATTTTGTTTGTGCATGCCTTCCACTAACATTCCTAGAAGATAGTGGCAAATATATTTAGGGAGGCAGAATCCTCCAAAGGATGCTAAGGCTAAAATGTATCGTGACAGTTTGACAGAGAAAGGCGATTGATTAAACTCCCCAAAGACTGGAGCTGTGTATAATGCATTTATACAACAGGGGTGGGTCCTACCTGCCCCTGACAAGTCTTGTTATTCTCTATTTCATTGTTGATAGAGTGGGTCTGTTAATGCTTTGGAGGATGTCAATATGCGTGCTTATGGTTACCACTTTATATCTGCACAGCCCTCCCCTCAGTTACCTAGCACTGCATATTTCTAGTCCTCTGACTGGCAAATCATTTTTGTTACAGTTCTTTTGTGTAAAAACAGTTCACATAATAGCTCTGTGTTAGACAAGGCATTAATCCTCACATCACCGGGATGAGTCAGCACAGTGCACTCCTGCCCGCACGGCTCAGCTATTGTGACGTCAGTGCTATAGGGCGAGCCTCAGACACAAGCAGTATAGGGGACCTGTGTCACCAATTAGGAATCAAGGGGGAGACTTTTGAGATAAAAAGTGTTGTTGAAAGCCTGTCTCTGGCTCATAGGAAAATGCAAATCTGATTCTATGCTACATCAATCATCAGTCGCGTAGCTTCTAGAAATATACTATTTTTTAACTACACATAAGACTGGGGGAGTGACCTGTAATGAGCAGATAATCCGTTCGTATACCCATGACCTCGTCCCATCCCTGGGCCAGGCTTCATATTTGCTTGGCTTGTTCCAAATCTTGAAGCTGCTGTCATATCAGCAGGGTGACCGGGCTTATGACAGTCCTACTGTCCTAAAGTACCCCACAGACACAGCTGATAGTTGATGGCTCCAGGTTGGTGCCCCAGAGGCCCAACAAAAGGAAAAGAAATGTCCAATGTCCCTTGAGAACAGATCAGAACATTATCTCCCCAGTGCTTTGACTCCAAGTGCCTCTTCAATGGCCTCCTCTAAACAGGTACAGAATTCTGTTTGTTCGATCTTCTATTCTTAGCAGTGCATTTAGTCCAGTATCACAATCTGTATTTGACCTGGATTTCAATAGGAACTGAAAAGCTGTCAGATGTTCTCCCAAGAATTTTCCATTCCATTACTGTTTAGCAGAAACAAAGAGGAACCCTCCATAATCTGCCATGCTACCTTGAAGCGGGTAGCACAGACTTACCTTACTTGGGAAACCTGGATCTTATGAGTTAGGTCTGTCTACAATTCAGATTCAGATGTATTCTCAGGGCAATATATTTCTGTATTGAATATTAAGTCTTGAAAAGGGTGTTAATTTACAGCCTTAATGGCATTCTCTGTTAAAAAGACCTTCCTCCATCACAGAATTTATCCCTCACTCTTACTGTCACCCCAGCCAGTCACCAGCCCCTGCCATACCCATCAGAAAGTGCCTTACTGCTGGGATCTTCTGCCTTCATTAGATTGCTAATGGGCTCCTACTATGCTTATAAAAGCTAACACTACTACTTGGCTTCGTTTTGATTAATTATCATGCACAGCTCTTTATTTAGTTTTCATTCAACAAACATTTATGGAAAGCTAGTCACTATGCTTGGTTGTGGAAACTCTGAGATAAATAAGAAATGCTTTCTTTTGTTAGAAATCTCAGTCTGATAGGGGAAATAAATAAGTGAATAAAGACTACAGCATATGATAGACACTGAAATGCAGGTATATACAAGACATAGTAAGAGGAATGAAGAAGGAGTGCCCATTTGCATGTGATAAGTTGCCCAGGCTGGGTCTTAAAGTCAGAAGAGTAAATTGCAGTTTACCAGGTAGATATGAAAGAGCAGAAAGAAAAGTGGATCATAATTGAGAAAAATGTAAGAGCATTTACAAAATCAGGAGGTGTTAAGTAACAACAAGATCCAGAGGAGTGAATAGTTCGGTGTGGTTGAAACATGGTGGTTGAAAGAGTAGTATGAGATTGGGCTGGAAAGTAGGCAAGGGACCTTGCCTACCATATGGAGGACCTTGTATGTCATGCAGAGGAGTTTGGACTTGATCCTGCAGGCTCAAGGAGGCTTTGAAGAATTATAAACATGTATGTTTTAGAAAGAGCACTTGGTGAAAGTGGAGAGGCTGGCTCAGAATAGGGAGGCCAGGTCAAAGGTAAAAGCCGAAGGCCTGAACTGTGCTGTAGGGGTAGGATGGAGGGGAGCGGCTATTTGGTAGTGTCAAAATAGACATTAACCTTTGTGTAATTCCAGCGTATCTTGGCCTTTTACATAATCTTTGCCTTCTAGGAGAAAGGCTGATACATTGTGTGGAGTCAAATTTCAGACCAAAATACATCCTTATGGGATCTTCAGCAAAGACCTCAATTTGAATATGACCTCACTTTGAGCTACTGCCCACTGGTCGCCAGGCTCGTGTACCTCCTACTGCCCGTGGTGGGTGTGGGGGAAGAGCAGGCAGATAAGGAGAAGACATTCCCAGTGTCCTGCTTTTCTCTTCTTTCACCTGGAAATGAAACAGTTTCTAAATAATGCCCCCCTAAAGTCAATCAATGCCCCAATTTCCTATCATTTTCTCATTGCTCCCTTTTTCTAAGCAAAATTTCCAAACCATTGAACTGAATTGCAACTTATGCACAGCCGGGTGTTGAAACAATTCAGTGTATTCATTCCTTCTCTCTGAATTAGAGTTCACCATAAGTGTGCTTTTCTCTTGTTCACTTTGGGCTGCCAGGACAATTTAAAGGAAATTTTCAACAGCTTATGTTTCATGTACTATGTTCTCTTTTGCAAATGGGAGGATATGCGTGGGTGTGTTTAAGCCTTCTCTATATTGCTTTCTGGAGAAAGGTTTGGGAAGATGAACAAGATGAGGAGTGGGGACCTATTGAAAGCCCAGGTCCCCCAGTGACCTGAGTGCAGAACGTAGGCTGGTGATCAGATGGTCAATTATGTGTTTGTCAAAACACAGTGGGCTGCATTCCAGGCTGCCAGCTTTGGAAGCCCAGCTTCTGCCAACCAAATGTCATCTGGGAACATGCAACACTGGGCACTGTGAAGGAGTTTGAAATAGACCATGCCACAGCCAACCTACTGCCAGTCTTATAGCACCAATATGGCATGCACAGCCGGGCCCCATGTTTCAGAGCTCAGGAATTCACTGTACTAAATTCAAGAGGTCAGATGGGTTCATGTTTTCAAAGCCTATGTTCTCTGCTTTGAACACTGTGACTTGCTCCTCAGCAATTTCCAAGGGATTTTTCCAGTCACATCTCTGTGGAAACCATTCTTTTTGTGATGGTTATAAGATCCTTGTAAATGTCCCAGAGGATGGGAAAAAAATTAAATAAACTTGCTCTGACAATGACTGTGATTTCGACAGAGGGATTCCAACTCTTAGGAAACTACATTAAAGGTGCATAGCTTTTAAAATATCAGGAACCACCTTGGCAACTTATAAAAAGCAGAAGGGCTTTGCCTATTTTATAAAGTGATTTGCATTTACCTGCATAAATAATGTCCCCACCTGTACTTTTATGCATTTAGGTTGAATAAATTAAATTTTGTGATCTTTAAAATATTCCCTGTCTTAAATTGCTCAGACACCATTTTCAGGACCCTTCCTTCTCATTTCTTTTGCTAGTGATAAGAGTGGCTATTTTTTGTTCAATCTTTTGACTCATTCAGAGAATCAGAACACACTGAACACCAATCGACCATAGCCAGGAATATTACCTCCCTCTGGTTCATTTCTCTTAGCCTTTCTACCTATCAGATTGTGAGTTCCATGTATTTTTAATAAGAGAAATAAAGTTAAATATTACTAAGGTGAAAACAAAGCACAAGACAGAATTAAGTTCTGTTTACATGTATATGTAAGACAGAGAAAGAGTGTGTGTATGTGTGTGTCTATAGACAGACTTGCACTGATACACATCTCAGGGACATACCCATAGTAACCTTTTCTTTCTTTCACCACTGCACTGCCACAACCTCTTCAGGAACCATCCAGCTACTAAGCC